AAGTTTTACATAAGAACATGCAGAAAAAATATTTCTTCTCAAGAACAGAAAAGCTATGTTTAGTCATATTGATATGGAAGCATCCTCAGGTAGTGTAGATTCAAGTTTGTTCAAATATTGACCTCTGGGATAGGGAAGAGCCACAATGGGGGATCAAATTTTTACAAAGGATTATATTGGAAAAATTTTTCAAAATTTACTCAAGTACAACAACGCCATTTGTTATATTGACATGAAAGCATCATCAGGTATCTCTCTCTCCCCCCCCCCCCCCCCCCCCCCCCCCGTAACCTTTTCAATACTGAACTGATTTGTGGTTTTGCCTAGCCAATGTGCTCAGGTGAGCAATGTGGCCCATGGGCCTCTTGTTGTTTACTGCTAAAAGAAATCTATGAGAGGGATAATATTGTTTTTATTGTTAAAGTCTGATGAACATAAATTAAAGTCAAATGAGCTTACATTAGATATGAACATTGTACTTGGATTTTGATTTTTGATCATTGATATCATAAGAAAATACCAGTTGATAAATATATCCATTTGATGTGTTATATTGTTTACATTTGTACTTCTGAGCCAAGGGCTGAAAGAGCTAATGCTATATCCATTTGTGCGGTGTGCGTTAACTTTCTAGAATATGGGCCATAACTCAAGAACCCCTTTGCCAATTATTGTCAAATTTGTCGCAGGGTATCCTTGACCGAAAGACTCCCGTTTATATTAAATCTAGGGTTGTGACCCTTAAACAAAGAGAGATAATTTGGTTAATAAAACCAAAAGTACTGGTTGCTAAAAATCTCAAAAAACCACTGGGCAGATTATCACCAAACTTACACATTAGGTTGAGGATATGCTGTAGATTAAAATTTGCAAGGGGAATTGCCCTGGGGCAAAGGCATGATCTCATGGTCACATCAAAGTTGACCCAAAATTACATTTTATTAAAATGTTAATATTTTGCTTACTGCAAGGTCTACGATCATTAGTCTTTATATGTTGATGCATCTTGGGTCATCGAAGTACGTCAATTAAAAGAAGGTCACCTTGACCTACTTTTTAGGTCACCTGAGTCACTCAGGTGACCTATTGCTATCTGTTCTCGTCCGTCGGCGTGCGTCGTGCGGTGTGCGTCGTGTGTTAACATTTGAACATTTTTAGCTTCTTCTCTGAAACCGCTTAAGCAATTTCAACCAAATTTGGCATATAGCATCTATGGGTGAAGGGGAACAAAAATGGTGAATTTCATGGTCCTTGCCCCCCTGGGACCTGAGGGGTGGGGCTAAAACCACTGAAAATAATGCAATCTTTAAAAATCTTCTTCTTTACTCCAGGACATGAAGCAGTCAAACTGTTGGCATCATAGTAATAAGCATTGAGCCCTCTACCAAAATTGTGAAATTCATGGCCCCAGGGTCAGGGGTTCTGGTGCTAGGGTGGGGCTATATAGAACATATAGTGAAAGTGCATTATTTCTTTGAAAATCTTCTTCTCTGCTCCTGGGTATTAAATAAACTAAATAAGTACATAGTTATGAAGAGCAAGAGTGCCTCATCCAAAATTGTGAAATTCATGGCCCCAGGGTCAGGGGTTCTGGTGTTAGGGCGGGGCTCTATTGATTATGTAGTGAAAATGCATGAATTCTTTGAAAATCTTCTTCTCTGCTCCTGGGTATTAAATAAAGTAACTAAGTACATAGTTATGATGAGCAAGAGTGCCTCTTCCGAAATTGTGAATTTCATGGCCTCAGGGTCAGGGGTTGTGGTGTTAGTGTGGGGCTCTATTGATTATATAGTAAAAATGCAGTAATTCTATGAAAATCCTTTTCTGTGCTCCTGGGTATTAAATAAAGTAACTAAGTACATAGGTATGATGAGCAAGAGTGCCTCTTCCAAAATTGTGAATTTCATGGCCCCAGGGTCAGGGGTTCTGGTGTTGGGGGGGGGGGGGGCTCTATTGATTGTATAGTAGAATTGCAGTAATTCTATGAAAATCCTTTTCTGTGCTCCTGGTTATTAAATAAAGTAACTAAGTACATAGTTATGAAGAGCAAGAGTACTTCTTCCAAAATTGTGAATTTCATGGCCCCAGGGTCAGGGGTTCTGGTGTTAGGGCGGGGCGCTATTGATTATGTAGTGAAAATGCATGAATTCTTTGAAAATCTTCTTCTCTGCTCCTGGGTATTAAATAAAGTAACTAAGTACATAGTTATGATGAGCAAGAGTGCCTCTTCCGAAATTGTGAATTTCATGGCCTCAGGGTCAGGGGTTCTGGTGTTAGGGCAGGGCTCTATTGATTATATAGTGAAAATGCAGTAATTCTATGAAAATCCTTTTCTGTGCTCCTGGTTATTAAATAAAGTAACTAAGTACATAGTTATGAAGAGAAAGAGTACTTCTTCCAAAATTGTGAAATTCATGGCCCCAGGGTCAGGGGTTCTGGTGTTGGGGGGGGGGGGGGGGGGGCTCTATTGATTATATAGTGAAAATGCATTAATTCTTAGAAAATCTTTTCTGCTCCTGGGTATTAAATAAAATAACTAAGTACATAGTTATGATGAGCAAGAGTGCCTCTTCCAAAATTGTGAATTTCGTGGCCCCAGGGTCAGGGGTTCTGGTGTTAGAGGGGGGGGGGGGGCTCTATTGATTATATAGGGAAAGGGCATGAATTCTTTGAAAATCTTCTTCTCTGCTCCTGGGTATTTTTCAAACAAAGGAACTGCATGGTTATGATAAGGAAGAATGCCTCTTCCAAAATTGTGAAATTCATGGCCCCTGGGTCAGGGGTTCGGGGGGGGGGGGGGGAGAGAGCTCTATTGATTACATTTATATAGTGAAAATGCTTAATTTCTTTCAAAATTTTTTATCTACTCCTGGTTATAAACTAAAGAAACAAGTGTATAGTTATGATGAGAAAGGGTGCTTCTTCCAGAATTGTGAGTTCGTGGCCAATGGGTCAGATGTTCTGGTGTAAGGATGGGGCTTTATTTATTTAATAATATGGTGAAAATGCATTTCTTTGAAAATTGTCTATGCTTCTTTGGATGTTCAAGACAAACAGAGTAAAAGTTTTAATATGCAAGGGTATTTTTACCAGAATTTTGAACACCTGGACCATTTAGTCAAGTTTTCTGGTCCTGGCCAGGGCTCTATTAACTTGTATTCTACTGAGCAAAGTTATTCCCCTTCATTCACCTTTGATAATTAATCAATTTACATAATGTATTTGAAAGCTTAATAGAATAAGAGAATTATGCAAGAAAATTTATTGTATGATAAAAAAAGTACTTTCATAGTTTTAATGACTTGGAAATAATAGATGAATAAAAATGAGACAAAAATAACCTATCTTTTTAAATGTTCTTCAACGGCCAAGAGAGGCCATTGTGAGAAGGAATAATATGGGGTTGAATAATAGACATTTTGTTAATAGTCTGCATGGGAATAGTGATAAATGGGGGGGGGGGGGGCAGATAGATACTAGACCAATTATTTTGTTGATGCTAATCATACTATTTTCTTGCTGTTGGGCAACAAAGCTTCATTTATCAGTTTATGGATCCTCTAAATTGTTGTATTGTACTCAGGTGACCGTTAAGGCCCTTGGGCCTCTTGTTGAATTTTATGGCTAATCTTTTAAAAACATTGAATTTCATTAATTCGAATGCTGAGAGGTTTAGAATCATTTAATCTTGTAAGATGATGCAGCTTGGCGCCATGAAACAAATTTATGAAAAAGTAGGTCACCTTGACCTACTTTTTGAACTTTGCAGGCATTCGATTTCAAAGCGTTTTAGAGGCATATTTTGGACATTTCAAGGCCTATGATCATAAAACTTTGTAAGTTGATGCATCTTTGGTCCTCGAAAAACGTCAACTGAAAAGTAGGTCACCATGATCTACTTTTGAAATTTTTTTGTTATATTTAAATATTTTGAGTACTATTTGGTTTGGAACCATCAAACTTTTTCAGTTGATGCATCTTGGGTCTTTGGAGTAAGTTAACTGAAAAGAAGGTCACCATGATCTACTTTTGAAATTGTATGGCTTTATTTAAATTTCAGGTACTATTTGGTTTTGAATCATCAAACTTTGTCAGTTGATGCATCATCGGTCCGCAGAGTTAGTCGACTAAAAAGTAGGTCGCTGTGACCTATTTTTGAAATTTTATGGCTTTATTTAAATATATCAGGTACTAATTGATTTAGAATCATCAAATTTTGTAAGTGGGTGCATCTTTTGTCCTTGGAGTTTGTCGAATATGTAGATCACTCTTAACTTCTCTTGGAATTTTAAGGCTATATTTGAATAATTTCATGTACTTATTTGCTTAGAGTCATCAAAAATTGTTGGTTAATGTATCTTGGATGTTAGGAGTACGTCAACTAAGAAGTAGGTCACTGTGACTTGATTAAATATTTTTTTTCAGGTACTAATTGGCTTAGAATCATCAATCTTTGTCAGTTGATACATCTTGGGTCCTCAAAGTATGTCAACTGAAAAGTAGGTCACTGTGACGTACTGTTGAAATTTTATGGTTATAATTAGATATTTTTAGGTATCAATTGGCATAGAATCATCAAACTTTGTCAGTTGTTGCATCTTGGGTCCTCAGAGTATGTCAACTGAAAAGTAGGTCATTTTGACCTACTTTTGAAATTTTATGGCTCTATATAAATATTTCAGGTACTGTTTGGCTTAGAATCATCAATTTTAGATAGTTGCTGCATCTTGGGTCCGCAGAAAATGACAAATGATAAATAGGTCACCATCACCTATCTCAGGTGCTAATTGACTTGGAATCATCTTGGGTTCTCAGAGTGTTTTATATAAAATGACCTACTTTCTGAATTTAAGGGCTTTATCTAAATATACAGGATACTTAGAGGCTTCAAATAGAAGTGATAGGTTGTACAATTTATCACAAGCGCATTTCAGGGCCCTTGGGCCTATTGTTCTAGATAACTGCTTCAACAGTTTCATGATATTTTTTTAATATTGCAGATTCAGTATATGTTATACATCAGAGAGAAGCATGATGCTTGATTTTGACTGTCTATTTGAAAGGCACCAATACTTTATATTTCCATTACGGCACTCTTCAAATTAGAGGGGCGTTTAGTAGGGTCTCCTGGGACAAAATTTGGCTGTGATGGCGTCTAACTCTGTAAATTATCGGAGTTTACAGTGCACCGATCTGAAGAATATATTGAAATCGAAAGGTTTTCCGTCTTCTAATAGAAATAAGCAAGACTTGGTTGATTTATGCGAGGGAGCAGAGGCGTTTAATTTGCCACATATCGGTCATTTTGATGGTGATATACAGGCCTCCATTAGCAGCAGACGAACGGTTCGTGGAAAAAATATCCACACCCATATCATGATGGTAGCATCGCTTGGACACCGAATCTTGCCATTATTCCCTCTATAGATGCCTTTGACGTGTCATCTTTTCTTCAAAACTACTGTGGGTGGTCTGAAGAACGCTTACGGAACAGGAAATCCGACAGTGGATATAAGCTTCATTGCTCTTGTCACATTTATGATGTCGTCATGGCTCTGTTAGGTAGGCTTACATGAATACTGCATTGTGTAACGTTTATTGATAAGATGAGTATGAAATATTTCTTCTGTTTTGTTAAAGTGATTTTTTCATCGGGAAGATGTGTGCAATTACCAGATTAATCTAATTCACCTAAATTTGTAAATACAAATAGTAAATATTATGTAATATTTGGTATTTTCAGAGTCAAGTCTTTTTTTTTTTTAGATTGACATTAGGATTTTTTACTGCTAGCTTTAGATTATAGTGGCTACTGGTTGAAGTACATAATTTGACTTGGTTATAAAATCAAGCATTTTTTGTACTACAATCCTTTGCTGCTTGTTTAATCATCATGTCATCATCATCATCGTTCCATCCATGTCCATGAACTTTCACCAACCATGCATATCTCATCAACATTTAACCCTCTGCTGTCACCAGATTGTATGTACAGTATATCAAATATTTTTTTTGGATTTTTTTTTGTGCCTAAGAAACAAACAAGTATGTCTCACAGGCACTTGACGTTATACTTAAATATAACTCCATTCCTAAATTTTATTTATTTAGAATTACAGCAAATAAGAATGTTTTTGAAAACTTTGTTTACAATTTAAATTTTAGGTGATGATATGTGTTTTATCAAGGGAAAGTGTGTTCCTGAAACACGGCAGTCCAGTGATCCCTATATCCCATGGATTCTGGTTGAAAAGTCAGGACACATATTTTCAGCAGAATGCACATGTGTTGCATAAGTTTCAATTTCTTCTCACTTTTGAAATGTTATTTTCTTGATTGTGCTAAAAGTTTGATTAAATTTTAAGAGACTTCTGCTTTTAAGTTTTTTGTGAATATTAAATATGTGTATACAAGCAAAGTTGAAGTGAACTGATTTATTTTTATTCTACACAAAAATATAATTGTAAGAAATAATCTTAAACATGTTGTCGCCCTACTATTTGGCATTATTGATCACGTCACATCCATAGAAGACCGAAGTACCATTGGAGTCACAGATACTGCAGCATATTGGAATAAACCAAGAAAAGTATGCAGGCCAGTAGCTGTTCGTGACTTAGATATCAGGTATTGGCCATACTGTACTGAGTTCTCATCAAAGAATGCTGTTTGGTGGATGTATCATATTCAATTTAACACTGAGTTAATATTATTTGCCATGCATTGTTTCATGGATGGCTGTGCTGACAAATTGAATAACACACCTAAGATTGTTATGAAAATTTGTCAGCACAGCCACCTGTCTTTTGTAATGATACAATGCATGTCAAAAAGTATTAATTCATTGCTTTTATATATTTATCTTCTCAGATGAAAATGGACCATGTATATCTTTACATGTTTTAAAATAAAATATGACATGCAGCCAATCTGCCTTTGTATGCACTGTGTAGAATAGATGAATGGTGTTAATCTCCACCATAATGGAATATGACATCATGGCACAACAAACTTGAGCTAGTGCAGGGAAATATAGTTCTCTTTTGAGAAAAGAGAAATTATTTTATATCTTTTGTCATTTAGAATTATACTTTAACAACAGTAATAAGAAAATGAAGAAAAAAAGATGACTATATGAAAAACAATGCAAAAAATAACATAAATGTATTCATACATCATCTTTTATAAATTGTAATTTGGTTCTCATCCATGTTATTAAAAATTGAATATTATTAAATTTCGAATGTTAAGAGTTATTTATATAGATTAGAAGAAAAATACATGTGAAATGAAAAAAATAACAGTTTAGGTGTTTTTATATAAAACCCCTTTCCTTCATGACTGTCAATTTTTTTGCTTTCATTTTTTTGGTTTTTGTTTAAACCTTTTTTCACTTTTGAGGGTTACTTTTTCTTCAGAGGGGAATATCTTGAATCCACTTTCTATCTGTCTAATATGTATCGGTATATTTTAAAATCAAGTCAAAATCTCTCCTTCCCAATCTTACAACCATTTTGGAATATATGTAGTTATAATGTGCATTATCTAAGCATTTTAAACATTACTTATATATTTGATATTTCTAACGATTATAGGATTGACACGAATGTACCAGATAGACCACGGCCGTCGGAAGATTCTGGATATTTGCCACTTAAGTCATCAGCATTGGATTTAAAGTCTTTGGAGAAGAATATTGTTCAAGTTCTCAAAAAGAGCAATACACCAGCAGTGGCCTTGTATACATTGTCAGATTCTGATGATGACAATGATGTGTCTATGGGTATTGAGGACACACCTAAAAATATTATTGATTTAATGTCGATGCATGGTCAAGAAAATTTGAAAGTAGATGATTCTTATGTTAAAAAAGTAAATGAATTCACTAAAGGGCAATCCATCAACCTTATGTGGCAGTGCCAGAGTAAAGGTAGACTGACTGCTTCAAACTTCTTCAATGCCTATCACTACAGAGGTGATAAAACAGACAACTACATTGTAAGAAGTATTATGGGTCAGTATCATTTCACCTCAAAATCAGTCGAATACGGAAAACGAAATGAATCTGTCGCTCGAGAGAGATATGCTGATCACATGACAAGTTGTCACCCTTCATTCAAGTGTGCAGAGACTGGAATCTATGTTTACAAAGATTTCCCTTTCTTCGCTGCATCCCCTGATGGCATTTCTGAATGCAAGTGTTGTGGAAAAGGACTTGTTGAAATTAAATGTCCTTACAGTTCAAGAAATGAAACATCTCAGGTTGCTATGTCAAAAAATTCATCATGTGCAATTGTCAATGGAAATTATGAATTGAAAAAGAGTCTGTCCTCCCCATTTTATGTCCAAATGCTTGGTCAAAATGGCAGTATGCAAGTTTTCACATTGTGATTTTGTTTTATTTACTCAAAAAGATATCTATGCAGAGAGAATTCATTTCTCAAAAGCAGATTGGGAATTGTTATCTGAAAAGCTTAAAAGTTTTTATATGCAGTACGTTTTGCCAAACTTGGTTTGAGTATATCATGTACATAGAATGTATCTTCATCACATATACCTTAGTCAGGTACCTTGAATATTGTAGATGTAATACTTTGCAGAATTGAAGGTGATGTACATGTATGTCACTTCAACTCATTTTCAATATTTTTTGTTCTGTCATAAGAAACTTTATCAAGTTCTTTGAATTTATTCATACACTCCATTTTACTTCATTATTTTTATAACATGTTCCAAACAATATTTCAATTTTTAAAACCACTCTACAGACTTTGACTGACTTCATTTTTGTACTCAATGACAGTATAAGTACAAAGCTGGATTGATTCAGATGTATGAAACTAGCAAGTTATCTACTAGCATAAATTTTATGCTGCATAAAAATGAATACTACTTTTATAATAAAAATGAACATAATTTGCCATGATACTAGTAAACAATTTCCCTCATTTAAATTTCTTTGACAAAGGTGGCATTAAGTTGCAAAATGCTGCTGCTACTCTAAGCATTGCAGATGACAAATTTTTCATTTTCAGAGGGAGAATGCCTCCTAACATGTTGAAAGATTTCAGTCTGCGGATGGCTCGTTCCACATGGATACGTAGTGAAGCAATTTTACGAGACTCAATAATCTGTTTTGATGTTAGCACTCTCCCTCTGCCATTTCTTCTCTCATTGGTGAAAGGCGGCATATTCAAATATGCTCCTTTCAGGGTAAGAAGATCTCTAATTTGGAATCCTCTGTCTGCCATGACCTCGTCCCCTGGGGAAATGAGGTCAATATATTTGCTGTCAACTGTAATTTTTCGGTCACTGACATTGCCACTCCAGAATTTGGAAACAAAAGTAAAAGCTCCATTTGGTTGAATAGCGACCAGTGCCTTAAAGGTGTTGTGGGACTTGTAATTACTCCAAGTACTTGCTTGTGCAGAACAATTTTTTTTGTTTTTGAATGAACACTTCTGTGCAGTCAATTTTTGATGTAGTATTGGAGTACTTGAGCTTAAATGATAATGGCATGTGTTTTCGAATCTTTTCACCATCTGGCCACTTAATAACAGGGTCTAGAATTTGAGCTAGGAAATTTATCCATGTGCTAAATAGGTTTGAGACATATCCAATTGACACATTAAACAAAACGGAAAGAGTTGTATTGTCTACACCAAGTCTTAGTTTCAACATGGTCTTGACAAACTCCTCCTTCATAGTGAGTTTTCTCTGTTTCCCTGGTTTTGTTTGAATCATTTCTTGCCACTTTTTGGATCCTGACCTCCCAGCTCCTTTCCAAAATGAAACTTTGTCATGAAAAGGGGCCAAAAACTGAAGAAAAAATGTGAGAAAACTAAGTGAAGGCAGTCCCAGAAAATGCTTGACGTTGTTATCATCATGTAGTATTTTCCCCATAAGGTTCTCCCGGAAATCAACTTTACGTGATTTGAGGGCTTGATTCTCCTCTTTTAGTTTCCTGTTTTCTTTCTCTAGCTTCTCACATCTAGCCTAGTATAAATTCAAACCTTCAGTATAAGTATCAATGGTTATTTGGTAGCTTAGAAATTGAAAATATATTTTAAAGATAGGTTTGTGTTGTAGTGTGAATGATTCATTCATGGTATTAGGGTTGAGAAAGGACAGCATTATAGACAAGTAATACATTTTGTCAGTGCCAACTCACCTCTAAAAGTGTAATTTACTCCAATAGATCATGTTCCCCACTATACTTCTTTTTTGGACTACAGCAGATATAAGGATGATCATGATGTACTTGTGTGTTTTGGCACTGAATGTCACATTCAAACTCTAAAGTAAACAAGGAAGTAGTTTTACAACATGAACACCCTGGTGAAGTATATGTTGAATATAGATAAATATACGGTAGAGGTAATCATAAATGTATTTGTTTAAAATATCTTATATATTAAGTTTTTATTCAACATACCTGGTTGACTTTTGTTGTTATTGTTGATATCCAGATAATCCGTGAATGGGATGTCCAATTCACCCACAACATAGGGATAGCATATCTGTGTTTTATCAGTATTTGGATCACATTTCACAAGTCTAACTTTTTTGGTTGGACAATCTTGACTTTTGGTGCTTGTTGAAGTTCTACCTAAGTTCGAGTTCTTCGTTTTTCTTGGGGTTGAATTTTTGTAATTATTATACGCAAACAGTTTTGGATAAGGGTTTTGTGGAGTTGGTAGGGTGTCTACAAAATGTTTTCAGCATACAACGTAATGCCGTATATCACTCGTTCTATCTACTCTCAACCCCTCCCTCCTTATTAAACTAAGCCACTTCCTCAGCTCACTCTCAACTTTTGGGAGCTGGTGAAAACTTAAATCCGTACTTGTCCTGCTATCGGCAGTGCAGCCAACAGCGATACAATGTCGCACAGGCATTTCAGAGTCATTGACTACGTCTAGAATGTTTGTCCCGGAAATCCCGCGAGATTTGTACCGTTTTCACACTCCGATTTTAAAGAGCGATCAAAGGGCAATAACTCTTTTTGAGTGGAAATGAAAAGTATTGATCTTATTCATTTCTAATTCAAATATTGCTTGTAAGTTTCATCATTTGTTTAGATAGCTTTCATATTTTATGAAATTGAGAACTTATTTTTTCAAATAATTATGTGTGCGTCAGTGATTTTTATTGCACCTTGATTTGGGTTTTTGGTCATTTAGAAAAATACAAGCTGTTGAACGTTGTCAATTTGATGCATAATATTGCATTTAGGGTAATTTCTCCTTCGGTTTTTCTCTTTGAAAGGTTTTCCATTAAAGGGGATTTAAGTTTTTATTTTTTTAAATTGAAATCACTATTCAATGGAGATGAACATGGAACTTGTATTTTGGTTTTTCATCATTTAAGAAAGAAATCGCATTTTTTTAATTTAGTTGGTAAACTTTTTAAGAACTCCTTTTTATGCAAAATATTGCATTTTTTGATAACGTCTGCAACAGTTTTCAAGATAATACGTTTTTGTCATGCAGATCAACTGTACATACATCAAAGATGTTCATTGAAATATGATTTTAATACATCATTTAATGGGGGGAAATCACAGTTGTTAAATTGAGTAATTTTTATCGGAATGTTTGATATATCTTTTTTCAGTTTTTTTAAAATCATCTTTTGCAGTTTGATTTTGGCTTGGATTACCAAAGAACCTGACAAAAAATGAGGACATTTCATGCGACCAGGATAAGATGCTGCTTGCAATCGGCATTGCTGATCATTCACAGACAAGAGCATCTGGAGTTCAAGTTAATACAATCCGTAATTGCCTCTAAATACCGCATGGGGAAGAACTAGACACCAAAATGTTGTTATTTTTCGTAAAGCTGTGAATATTGACTTGATTACTCATTATACAATACAAAATGAAGTTCTTATTGTTCAGAAAAAAATTATCTTATTTGGAGTTATATTCCTAGATAACTCTCTTTGAAAAAAAATGCTTATGAATACTTTAAAGGGAAGGACCTAGAGAAATTTTATTTTAAGAAAGCTTTGAAAATGGACCAAATTGCTCATCACATTAAACTTCTTTGAATAGTGGCTATATCTGTAGAATCCCTATTTGTCAAATTTGTCACAGAGTATCCTTGGCCAAAGGACTTTCATTTGTACCTAAAATTTGAATATAACCCTTTAACAAAGGGAGATAATTAGGAAAATAAAAATGGATGCGAACATATTCTTTCAAGAACCACTGGGCAGAATATCACCAAACTTACAAAGGGTGAGGAGGTGTTGTAGATAAATATTTGTATAAGATATCACCCTGATAAAGTCACGGCAAAGTCACGGCCTCAAGGTAACTTAAAATGTGACCTAAATTAATATTTTGTGAAAACTTTAATATTTTGGCCACTATTGTGACTAGGATAATCAAATTTTGTAAGTTGATGCATCGTATGTACTCAGGTCATTCTGACTCGAACGTAAGTCATGGTGATGTAATTTTTTATTTGAGAAGGTATTCATTTTCAAATTGATTTTATACATACCTTATACAAGACTATGATCATCAAAACTTGTCAGTATATGCATCATGGGGGCGATAGAGAGTGTCAACCAAAAGTTATGTCACCGTTACGTACTTTGTTAACTTTATGGCTGATCATTTTAAAACGATCTAGTTTATTATTTCTGATACTGAGAGGTTTAGAGTCATCAACCCTTTTAAGTTGGTGCATCGTGGGACCTTGAAACTTATTTTTGAAAATGTCAGGCAGTCTGACTTTCTTCTTGAATTTCCTGACATTCGCTTTCATTTTGTATAAATTTCATATTTTTGACAATGTGAAGGCTAGGACAATCCATTATTGTCAGTTGATAAATGCGAAGGCTGTGAAGTGTATCAACCAAAGAAATGGGCACAATGACCAACATTTAGGATATCATGGTTATATTAAAAGTTCATTGTTTTTGGTTAACAAGCTTTGAAGACCAAAGGTGTGTCAACTGCCAAATTCTGATGATTCTAAGCCTTTTATTATTTGAAATATTAAGATATGACCAAAAAATATTGAAAATAATTATTACAGTTACTTACTTTTTTTGTAGCACAATCTGAAGACCCAATATAGGTCAAACAACAAAGTTTGATGATTCTAAGTCTCGTATTATATGAAAATTATACATACATGTACATGTACTGACTTGATTCTTCAAAAGTAGAATTGAAGTTAGAGGGCGCATAAAGTAGGCCGGGGGTCTGGGGACCGCCCTGAGGCCTCCAGTGGGTCCAGGGCGAAGCCCTGGTAGGGGCCCAGGGAGCGAAGCCCCAAGAAGCTTCTGGGTTCTAGAGATTTTGTAGGGTATAAATGAAGTCTACCGAGAAGACATTTTTGCATTTTCTCGATGAAACTATTATTTATGCTAACTTTGACAATTTTAATGGGGGGAGGTAATTAATTCATTGTGTGTTTTATTAATTGAATTATATTTCATTAAGTTGACAGAACCTAGGACGGTCTGTAAGTACAAGTTTAGGTATAGATTGGGGTATAATAATCTGAAATACAAATGGTTAGGTTATAGTTTAAAAAGATCAAAGATCATCGGATGCCATGATAGAGGAATTTCACATTCTGAAGAGTTGTCTCCCCTTGTTGACGTAACGCTTATTTTTCTCACTTTAGTCCTCTGTAAGTTAGCCTGTAAATATTTCCAAACTTCAAACGCTATCGGGCAATTTTGATCCTTTCATGTATTTCCTATGGGGCAACATGAAAAAACATTACAAACATATTCATATAAATTTAATTTCTAAGAGTTTGTAACGGTGTAGCCTTACGCAGGCTGACCCCAGATTGACTCGCAAAGGGAAATAACTTTAGTAAATGTGAAAGTCGTCCCTGAGGGGTCTGCATTTCCATTCCCTTGATACTAAAACAATCTGAATCAGATAGCTATAAATAGATTTGGAAACCTCAAAGCCATCTTTGTATTATGACATATCAAATGGAACACTCTCCCCCAGTTTCCCCGCCCATTCCCTGTCCCTGAAGTGACAAAAGATCATGTAACTTAAAAATAGTTAAAAAAAACTTTTCCATTTGACTATACATAATTTTGTTTCTTGTGTTATTATGTCTCTAATTGTATTCAAAAGTGCATCAATAAAAATTTTGCTTGACATTCCATTCATGAATTTGATTGATTGATTGATTGTATGTTGTATTACGTCCCATTCGAGAATTTTTCACTCATATAGAGACATCACCATATACCGGTGAAGGGTTTCAAATTTTGACCTTTACAAGGCACACAGGGCCATTGAACATTAAGGGATTTTTATCGTGCCAACGCCTACCTTGACACGGGGCCTCAGTTTTTAAGGTCTCATCCGAAGGACCCGCAACTTTCACTTCAAACTGCACATGGCGAAGGAACAGTTACTACCCATTTTTTGTCGACTTGGGTCAGTCGCGGCCGAGATTCTAACTCACGATCTCCGATCACGGAGCGAGCGCTCTACCGACTGAGCTACCGTGAACGTTTTTCATGATTTTGGATCAACCCACTCTTTTAGAATTAGGAATGAAAATTATTCAGATCGAGAGATGCACTATTAAACTATTTATATATATTCACATTTTTTAAAATGTCAAAACCAAGTACTGGTTTGCGTACATGAACAAACTGGGTGGGGACTGGGAAGGGGAAACGGGGGGGGGGGGATATTAACCCCACTTCTGACTTGTCATCATTATTTACTCTTCTCACAACATACA